TAATTAAATTTGGTTGACTAATGAAGCTCAATCCCAAGGTTTGAGACGCCGTGACCCAGATATCAAGTGTGCCAAAAAAACGTTTGGCTGCGACCGATCTGATGCAATTGACCAGACGACGGATTGATACCAGCTCTCCGGTCTCTGTTCAAAACTGTACTACTCTTTACACTATCCTTGATTCCCCGACAGTTGAGGGACATAATGTTAGAAAAGAGTATCTGGATGGTATATTACCGTATTCTCAACCTGTCTATCACTGTAAATATATTATTCACATTTCATCTGCCATTGGGAAATCAAATCCTTAATAGTGGTCCAATGATACTCAACACGCTTAGACGATCCATATTCAAAATATTCTGGTTCAATATATCCTTGTTCGATATGTAAAGTGTTCATTTTCAATAACCGTTTTACTTTAAAAAATCACATAAACTTACTAAAAAGATCAATTGATTCATAGTGTTAACGCAATATAAATAATAAAATTAATAAAAAAAAATCATTCTCACAGCAAGAGAGTGTTTGCAGCATCAAAAAAACCAAATGAAAATTAAGAAGAGTCAAATTAATGATAAGATTAAATTAATCGAAGCTCAGTCGTAGTTAGTCTGTCTTATTATTATATACGTTGAAAGAGAGTGAATCAAAATTGGAATAAGGTTGCAAAGTAGGGCTAAAATTTAGCGAGCAGGCTGAAACTGGGCGAATACTGATATACGAGGAAGTCTTCGATAACATAACTGGGAAAAGTTCCAGTGAGCTGGTCCAGCGGTTCCAATTTTTATCAAAATCTAATTTGATAAGTATCACCTGACTCGAAGTGCTCGGTTTAAGTTTCGACTTTGAAAGTCGACCATGTGTAGTTTTGCAAATAAAGTTCAGCGGCCAAGAAGCAATTTTATGTCAAGCACAATTTTGAAACATACCCGATTTCGGTCGAGAGAGTCGAATCATAGATCATGCACGGTCAGAAAACAGGTCAAGCACAACCTCGTTTTTTCAAAGTATAGTTTTTTGAAGATTTTAGTTAAATTTGAATTGTAAACTGAGCAAAAAAAAACTTGCTCAGAAAAGTCCTCCGTCAGAAAATTGCAATCGGCAACAATCCTTTGAGAATATTTCGGAGAAACCTTTGAAATTTTTGAAATCTAAGGGTTCTTGCGAGAAGAAAGAGTAAATTCGGCCGGATTTTCCGCAATTATCACTTTTTAGACCAGCAGTTTGGGTCCGGGTTTGTTAAGAAGAAAAGGCAAAATGAAAATATAAATTTAAAAAATTTAGTTTTCAATTTAGGAGTTTTGCATGTTACTGATTCTTATAACTTCTTTTCAATACAAGCATCTTTAAAACCTCCGTCCTTTTTTTAATAAAGCAGTATTTTGAAAGACAAACATCATTAATCACCTTGGTGCTAAAACTTCAAATCAATTTTTTAGATTTTTTTTGTCAGAATTTCAAGTATTTTGAATGACAAACATAATGACTCACCTTGGTGCTAAGAATTCAAATCAATTTTATAATTTTTTTGTCAGATTTTTCTGCAGAACACTCAGCCAGAAACGCTCAAAAAATTAAAAAGTTTTTTTTTGCTCCTATTGGTATGAGTTTTGAGTTTTTTTATTGAAAGAAAAGAATATTACCCTTAATTTGAGATTAAGGCGCGTAGTCAGCCAATTAGTATATTTTCGACAAGATGTAGACATGGTTGGGTTCTTGAGTACTGCGGAGTTAGTTCTAGCCTAATAACTTTTCGTCATCCTTACTATAGTATCCGGCAGTATTGTACTAAATATATATATATATAAATATATATATATATAGATATATGTCCGCATTATTCTCTTTGGAACAATCAGTTAAGCAACCATACCGTTCCTGTTGACTTTACCGTAAATTATTCGGAAAATAGCCCTTGTCTTCTCTTGACCTTGATTTATTATTACAAAAATATAATATTATGAAAAAAGGTATCTGATCAAGAAAATCTCTTCACTGAGATTGTCTTTGATTTTATTCTTCATCATATCTACACCCAAAACAATGATTTACAGTATCTGGTATCGTGGTGAGTTTTTTTCCGAATCAGTGTTTTATGCTGCGTTAATAGTTTGATTATTCAAAAAGTTTATTTTTCTTCGTTTGATCTTTCATTTGAGTTTTTTAAACTTTTGCTTTTGATTATTTCTACTGGTATTCGATTAAGTAATTTTGCTGGTTCCCGCGAATTTAGGGTTTACTAAACGTTTTAGGTGTTTCAATTACTGCCAAGTTTCTGTTAGTATCATACCAAAAGATATTTTTGACTTTATTTCCAGCTTAATTGTTTAAATGTAGGAATGAAACTTTTTTTTGGTTTATTTTATGTTTCTTTACTTGAAATTGTTGAAAGCAGCGCTTAAAGTTAGTATTTTGACCACTGAAGCTTGAAAATTGAAGTTTCAGAGTTCAAAGCCGCCCTGCTTTTAAGGCTCAAGTTTGAAAGTCTCAAGTCTCAAAGGATCTAAAAATTAACCAGGATAGCCGGTTACTGTGCAAGTAGCACAGAATGTTCCGACATAGTCTTTAGAAAACTATAGTTTAGAAATTTTTTTTTTCAAATTGGTGTAGTTTTCTGCTTGGTGTGATCTAACCTAAAATATAATTAGGGTAAGCCAGACCGTCATAGTAATGTAGAAAAACTGGACAAAAAATTTTGTAGAAAACTGACTACAAAGACTATTAAAAATTTTTTTTTTAAATTTTTCAAATATTTTTACAGTAAATTTTTGAATTTTTTGAAATTTTTGGATCCCAAAATGAAGTTCAAAAACTCCAACACTAGATGTACTTGCTTAAAGTAAATTTTAAGGTCTTAAATTAGGCATTGCAGTTAGTGTAAGCCTGTTCGCTCTCTTTATTCGCGCGAATTATGACGAAAAATCAAAAATTTGAAACCGGTTTTTCTCCCCTTTTTCTCCAAATTTTAAACCAATTTTTCTCGGCGCTGGGACTTTTTTTCAATTAATTTAAAATTTTGATCGATTCTTGACTGAAAAGGCTTTGATTTGGCATCACTTCGACCAATTCCGATGACTACTTGAGGTACTTGATTTTGCGTGTGAAACAAAAAAAATTAAAACACACCCGACCGCAAAATTTCTCTTTATTTTCAACGGTCGAAACAATAAAATATAGAACTATAGCTCTAAAGACCGAAATTTGGAACTGTTTGTGTAACATAAAAACTTCGAACAACTGGAACGGGAATTTTGAAAAACACAGAAACTAATTATTAAAAAAAAGTTTTTTACCAATAGGCCTGGGTCGTTTATGTTAATGAGCTAATTCTTACTATATTGAAAATGTCTTAGAAAACTCAAAAAATCTAAAAATCTAAAAACTATTATCCAAAATTTGATATTCTAGTTGAAACGCCTAATCAACGTTTAAAACTCAAAAAATCTAAAAATCAGTTAGAAAACTCAAAAAATCTAAAAATCTAAAAACTATTATCCAAAATTTGATATTCTAGTTGAAACGCCTAAACAACGTACCAAAATTTTAGTTTCAGTTTTTCAAAAGTGATTTGTTCAAAAGGATTTTTGTTTGTTACTCTCATTTCCCATATTTTTAAAAAAATAAAATCAAAAATTTAGGTACCGCAAACCTTTAGTATGATTTCTGAAATGTTGATTTCAGACATTGGAAACGAGTTTCCAAGTTAGTATGAAGGGTTTGAATAGCATTAGTTTTCACCAGAAAATTGATACCTGACACTCAGAACTCAAATTTTATACCGAAAACCCAGCATTTCTATTCTAAATTCTGAAATTTTCTAAAAGGTAACCTTTGAGGCCAATTTTGGTCGTCTGGTAATCAAATTTAGATTTTACGAATTACTTTTTGCTATTTTACCCGAAACCGCCAACAGGTTATCAAATTTATTACAGGAACCCAGAAACATTTTCACCTGAACTGTTCGACACTAAAACTGAGACCTAAACTGAATTTTCATGTAGAGGGCTTGAACATCAGATTCCTCGGTCTGCTTAAAACGTGAAAGAAAAAAATACGGAATTACATGTTTGAATAACTAATTCCTTTATAGCTGGGAAGTTTTTGCATGGGAAAATTTTATCCTATTACTTCACATCATTTCTAACTGATAATCTAACTGTAGTATGCAATTTCTCTGGCTTTGATTAAGGCTTGTTGAATTTTAGATACCGCATTTTCTTACATGGATTGTCCACTTTCAATTATTTTTTCCCAATTTGAAAAATAATCTAATTAAGTTTTATTTAGATGTTTACAAAGTTTCAGTTGCAACTTGTTTTTTGATTTAGTCTACAAATTTTGAAAATATTTTCCAATAATCACAATTGATGATCATATACAAAATAATACGGAATTTCTTGATGCGAAGGTCACACACAGAATGTTCCAGCTATCAATTAAGTTTCTGAGCAGGATTTCGACGATAGAGTTTTTTTAAATCAATATTTTTTGTGAAAAGTTTTCTCTTTCTTCTAGCCAGCGGGTGGATCTAGTATTTTCTCGAGGGTGGGCGGATTTTCAAAAAATTTTCGAAAATTTTGACCTTTTTTTAGGTCGAACAAATTGATTTTTCGAGCTCTCCTAAAGCCTCCCGAGCACTACAAGACGCTGTTTATGAGAGAAAGCGTCCGACCCCCCTAAATCCGCCCCTGCTTCTAGCAGCAAAAACTGTGTAAATGTTAAAAAATAATTTCCAATCAATTAATAAGTTTTGATAAAAAAAGCATTTTTCATGAAAACTATTTTGCACATCGAATGGAGCGGAAAAATCTTTGTTACCAGAAAGTTTTCTCTAAAATTACTAAATGTTGGTTTTAGTAATTAACTTTTTTGTAAGCGCACTCCATTTGAAAAACAAAAGCAAAAGTTTAACTTAGCTTGAAAGTCGTCGGAAAAATAAGGCAAAAAAAAATTTTGCGAAAAAATCTTCAAAAAAAATGTAAAATTTAACTTTAGTATTCGGAACATTCGTGCCATCCTCTGTATCAATCAGCTTTATTTGTACAAATTAAGGTATATACAAATATAGACCATCATTCGGTTTGAATTTCATTCTGCTCTTTCGAGGCTTGTTGGGTAATAAACTCTGCCTAACAAACTGGCTCTAGCTAGGAAGAGAATATGCCACGATGCTGTGCACAATGCAATTGCGCCGTAAATCAAACTGGTCCAGTAAAATCCCACCTGCTCGTTCACAAATCCTCCGAGAACAATAGCTCCGAATATTCGACCTGACGACATCATAATGCTGAAACTCACAGACGCAAAAGTTCGCACTTGTTCAATACTGTCTGCTGATGCATCTTTCACAGCTAGCTTTTGAATTATTAGATAGAATGGGTTCATCATTCCGTCAACTGATATTCCGTTTATAGCTAATATAATCACTGCCCAAATTGTGCTTTCCATTTGAGGAACGAAGTGTGGTAAAAACATGGCGAAAGCAGTAGCAACTATTAGAACTTGGGAAGAGATCATGACGAATGTTCCGAATCCTCGCTCTACCAGGGTAGCCACGACAGCACCTGTGAAAGAGTAGTGACGTCATACATATCAGATCCCAGGCGCGGATCTGGGAATTTCTCGAGGGGAAGGGCGGATTTTCAAAAAAAAAAGAGGGGAAGGACTTTTTTTAAGGTCTGTTATACCCTCAGCCGTTAGGTGAGGTATAATCTAGAATCTATGTAATCAAAGTCTATGCTGTTCGCTAACTGAGAATTGAGAAATAGAAAGGTTGAGAGAACAACTTGAATTCAGTTGATAAAGTTAAGTCTGATTGGAATCTGACCTCGAAATCACGAGAGAGACAGAGACTCATAAATAACTATTGAATATGGTGTTAGGTTTAATAGGTACTTAATTTAGATCAGACATCTATATGGTTACGTTTACATAATGTTACATAAGTAGGTATGATTAACGTTTAGGCTAAGAACGATCTATGTAATGTGTTTTAGCTATACAGAGTTCTAATGAGTATCCAGTATATCCGTACGGATAACATTCCCCCTGCTTTTTTCTATATGATGAGCACATCATATGTCCTCCTGTTTTTCAGTAGCGTCCTCGTTTGGTGGAATGAAAGTTTTGGGGGCGTTCGTTGCCGATGATGTCTGTGGTATCTGTTGAGTGGCCGGTTCGTTGCTTTTCTCCTCCTTTGCGTGTTTAATGAGACATTTAGGGCGATCTTGTCTCTCACATTCTCTTTGGAATGTCATCGAGTTTTTTGGTGGCGAGATGGATTTGAGGATCTTCATTGCGTCATTAAAACTGTCAATAAAAGATTTGTCTGGTGAGCATGACGTTCCAGTTGGTCTGTCGATCACGTAACGTGAACTAATTGCTCGTTGGATGGGGCTATTTGGTGAACTGCGTTGGGCTGACGTAGCTGACGTATTTAACTTTGACACTAATTTGTCACTCGGGTTACTCTGTGGTGACGTTGGGTGTGTGGTCGTTTTTGTTGGTGTATGCAGTGTATCATTTGGCTCAGATTCATCGCCAATGGAAGTGATTGGGCCACTTGTTCCTTCGTTGGTTTCTTGAACCCTTACCTGCTCTGGCGTTTTGTCCATTGTGTTAATTTCGATACATGTGCCGTGCCTGCTTGACCAATTGGTTCCGCGTTTTTATCTTGCTGATGTTGTACTGTTATGAGACAGACTTCGTTATCCGAAGTATTATTGTTGGTGATCGTGTTAATCGGAATTGCATTTCCTAATTTATTTGCAAGCGCGCTTGTTTTGGTCCTTGTGGATCTACGGCTTGGTATAGTTTCTTGTGGCGGCGTATTTTTCCGGTCCATATTTTTGGCTGGGGGCATGTTTAGCGATTGCGTCATATCTTGATTAATAGAATCGTCCGATGAGATTGAAATTGACGTGTCACACTCAAATTCTATGTGTTTTTTGTCCCTGCGTACTTTCTCTGGGCTGCCCTTTCCTTTTCGGCTTGGCGACTTGAGATTTTTCGTAGTCGTTGGTGGGTTTCTTAACGACGGATTTTTTGATGTTGTCGGTATCGTTTTATGAATACGCTCCTGTCCTAGAGTCCTTCTGTTTGTTGTTTGCCGGATAAGTTCCTCGATATTCTTTGGTGGCTTTCGTTTGGGGCTCGTAGGTGTTGATGTTTTTCCCGCTGGATTCTCTGGTCCCTTGGGTGTTTGCTTTGTGATTTTTGAGCCAGTTGGTTTCGTTTGTTTAGCTTCTTTGTCTGAAATACGGGGTTTAGCTCTTGGTAAATGTTTGTATGCTACAAAGTCTTTTAGCTGTGCCGGTCTACATTTACCGTACACTCGCGGATCTGGTACAAACGCGAAACCGTCGTGTCTTATTACCCTCGGTTGTTTCCCATCTTCCCGGACCCATGCAGTGTGCGGGGAGTAATTAATGATTGATCCGTTTCCGATTACTTTGAATTGTGCCCGAATACCCCATGATTTTTTGTTTTACGTGCTATGGTACCCCATTTTCTTGCCACTTGTTCCATACGTTTTCCTAATTTTGGGTCTATGGTGTCCTAGGGTCCTTTAAATCGATCTTTTAGGAACACCAAGGGGGCTCTTTCTATTCTTTGTTTTTCTTGTTGTGTAAGCCAACGAATTGGTTTTCTTGTTCTAATATTTGCTAAATCATGTTGCGGGTTATCGGCGAGAAAAGACCGTTTAACTTTTTGTAAGTCATAGGGTATATTATTAAGTGGAAGATGCGCACCTATTGGGAATTTTTTCAGCAGAGCTTGATCGAACTCCTCGTCCTCGTCAGTGTCCGAAAGTGTCACCTGCTTCTTTTTCACTGTTTCTATCTGGCTAGTTTTTGCTGGTCCTGGAGTCTTACTTCGAACCGCTTGTGTAGATGGTCCCGCTGGTTCACAGGATGGTTCGGGAAGATAGTTACTCTTGTATACCACGCTCAGTTCGTCCTCACTATTGATGTCCCTATTCCAAATTGCTTCGGGCGTGAGGGCAGACTTTGTGAGTATCTTTTCATCTAAACACGAAAGTTTTGTGTTTTCCCAAGAGAGATTAGAGATTTTAGGTGTTGTGCAGATATTAGTTAATGGTGTTTTGGTTTATGCCCGTAGTGCGCTTCAAACGGTGTAATTTTTGTTGTCGCGTGTGGGGTAATACGCAGTGTCTTGATCAACTCTGCCAATTCTGACGCTAATTTGTACGGTGTGTTATTTTTATCGATTTTCATAATAGAGAGACGAGTTTTTAAAGTTCTGATTAGTCTTTCCACCATGCCCATTGAGCGATGGTCGTCCACTGGAGCAAATATCAGTTTAATGTTTTTGCTTTTGCAACAAATCATAATTTTTTTAGCCCGAAACCCTTGAACTTGGTCACACCGGATATTCCTTGGTACGCCGTGATTGACAATATGTGTTTGCATAATTTTTATGATCGTATCTGCCTTGTTATTTGCTACTACTTTTGCTGATGGGAATCTTGAGAATCTATCTACCCCAACTAGGATGTACACGTCTTTATTGTTTTCATCCGGTAGCGGTCCGGCGAAATCCAATTGGATTTCCTCGTTCGGTTCAACTACGGCGTCTAGGCAGTGAAGTGTTTCCAACCGGATATTACCCGAAGGTTTTTACCTTTAGCGCGACATTCCTTGCAATTCTGCGCTGCTGTAACTATATCTCTATGGAGATATGGATACCAAATGTGCTTGGCAGCTTCCAGCATGCCGCCTTGTCCCGGGTGAGTTAGATGGATCGAATCTAGGATGATTTGCCTTAACTGCTTTGGTATTACTACTCTGTCATCATAGACTAAGACGTTGTTACGGAGAGACAAACGGTCGCGCACGTTGTAAACGTATGGTCCGTAGCAGGCTTTGATCTGATCCCACTTTTGTTCTCGTATCATATTGATCAGAGGCTGAAGGTTTCGATCACGTTTCGTGGCCGCCGCGATAAACTCCACGTCGAGTGCTTTTCGTAGATTTTTCCGAAAAAGCGGTACATCTTCCTCCTCCATAGAGATGGCTTGACATTCTGCCGGGTGATCTGGGGGGTCTGTTTGACATAATTGGTCTGACTTTTTGTTAAACGTTAAACTATCTCTCGACGGGATCACTTGATGCCTTACGTCGCTGAATGAGAGAGTTGATTGGTACGGTTCCTCCGAGATTTCTGTGAACGATGCAAAATTGGTAGGTGGAATTGTTACCGTCGTTTGCTGTCCACTGTGACATTTCCTCAGAATCCTTTTGAGCGGGGGTAGTGACATTCCTGTTTGTAATTGTCGATTCATCTTGTTGGCAACTGGAGCGCTAGCTTGTGAGGTAAGGTAAGGTTGGTTATACTGAAGATTATAGGAAGTTTTTTCTTTATGTATTTCGTTTATTGAGGACTGGTTCAAAATGTTTGAACTTGACAGAGAGTGACTGTTTTCTAGAGGTTGATCATTAACAGTGAAATCTGTTGCATTTGCGTGCGAATTTGAGCGAGCAAAGTTTTCCTTCCGGTTGAGCTGTAACGTGCGTTGAACTCCGTTTGGATTTTTTGATAATTTCGACGTTAGCTATGGTGTTGTCTTGAAATTCAAGGCAAGAAATGAAATTATCAATAAGTGCGACTACGAAATGTTCGTCCCAATACGAAGGGGGTTGTGGTTTTCCTACCGGATGGCGCGAAAAATAATCGATTAAGACCATTTTGCTGCCGGAAAGATGTTTGATGTCGAAATCAAATGGGATGAGACGGTCAATCCATCTAGTTAGGCGACTTTGATATGTTTTATTACTCCTATTGCTATTTAGAGCACTAACCAAAGCTTGGTGGTCAGTAATTAATGTAAAACGGCAGCCACACAGATAATATTTAAAATGATCAATGGCCCATACTGCAGCTAGAAGTTCCAACTCGTTTACTGAATATTTATTTTCGCATGCGTTTAGAAATCTAGACGCATATGCCACCGTAGCCCATCCGTCTGGAGTTTCTTGTTCAAGAGCTGCTCCGATACCATCGCGGCTTGCGTCGCAGACTATTCTGGTCTCCCGGTTATTTACGAAGTGTCGATTTTCTGTGATATTTTGCACCGCTGTAAGGATGGTTTGAAATGCCTCTTCATGTTTTTGTTCCCAAACGTAGTGGAATTTGGAAGAAGAAGATAAGAGTGGTCTCAATGGTGTACACAGTTGTGCCAAGTTTTGTATAAATTTATTTAGATGGTGGACTGATCCCATAAAACTTTTGAGTTGTTTGAAAGTTTTAGGGTGTTGTAGTTTTGCAATCGCATCGGTTTTCTTGTGCATTGGTATTGTTCCGTAATCATTTATGATGAACCCCAGCCATTCGCCTTCTTTACAGCCGAATTTACATTTATTTAGGGAAATAGCCATATTTTCTTGATCTAACTTGTCTAAGACCTTTTTCAATTTATCGATGTGTTGTTCTTTAGTTCCGTGGGATATAATCGGTATGTCGTCAAGAAAAGCGAATGTATCCTTCTCGTTGTTTAATGTTAGATCAATGGCCTTCTGAAATTCTGCGGGCATATCCGTGAGCC